TCTATATACTGAGGCAATCACCAGATGGGATAAAGTTACACAAGATCTGGCCTATATCATCTTTAAGAAAGATGTCTATCATGAGCTAGATCGGAAAATAATAGTTTAGTCAGAGAAGATCTGGGCATCACTAAAAGCAGGAGACTAAATCTCTGAGCAGCTGAGGAGCTTGTGCATTCCCAACCAGAGTGGCAGGTATCAGTTCTTTCACATGTAACAGTGCTGATCCTTGTCCTACCAGACCGTGTTCCTAGAACTCAAGGTTCATTTCCCCCCTTTTCTCAGGGAAGAGAATTCCAGGATTTCCTTCAAGTAAACTGCAACAAAAATTGCAAAAGGAAAACTAACAGTACTGAATCGAGGACCTAATTGTCTTTATAAGTACACCCAGCTGTTTTCAGTGCAATGTGTTTGACTTCTCTGTTTCTCTCTATGATTTATCTAAATGGCCTTATCTGCCCTGAAGAACCTCAATGAAATATCAGTAGGCAAAAAAAATTTTACACTTTTAAAAAGCTCAGTAATTCCTTTATGTACTTTAGCTTATACAGAGTCACAAAAATGGAAGATAATCAATTAAAGGTTTAAGTTTTGATGGAACTTCTGAACATTAGAAGCAATGTGCAGCCAATCTCAGTCCTTTTAGGATGTGCAGAATCAATATTCTCATATCATTGCATTAGCTCATGAGATAATGCATGAAATGTTCTCAAAGTCAGCAAAGTACTGCACTTTCATTCCCTTGCAGGAAGAATTCCTTATGAATGAGTTGTCCTCCCTTTTCAAAGTAAAGGGGGAAACCACTTGTTTTCTGGTTCTGGTCTGAAAATCGAATCAAGCAAAAACTTGTGGGACAATTTCAGGATGAAGCAGAAAAGTTTCGGCTATTTTATATGGGTGTCTGTCAAGTCATACAGTTTTCAAGTCTATATACACCATTTTTCACCTGAAGCCATTGGAATTGCTACTATTCAAATAGATCATGAACATACAACACTTATACACATATAAAGTATATGCGTATGTTGGTGTGTACACAAATATGTATATATACAACAGTTACATTTCCCTGCTGAAAATAAACTCAAGAACTTCATCTCAAAAACAAGGTCTGCTTGGGTTAAAAGCAAAAAAAAAAAAAAAAAAAAACCAAACAAAAAAATCCCACACCAAACAAAAAAACCCCAAAAAACCTAAAAAACACAAAAAAATCATGCAGTAATTAGAGCAAACCACTAGGGGAAACATAATCACATGCATTAAGCCACTCTGCGACAAGAAACGTGAGTGATACATGTAATCCTCCAAAAGCTTCTTCCAAGGTACCATCAGATTAAAACTGAGAAATCAGCGTCGAGGTTCCAACATGAACCCAAGCACACGCACAAAAACGAGCACATTTAATTTTCTGCAGATTTGTGCACTATTTATTTACCTTTGTGCCAGTTAGTGCACAAATCTTTGCAAGTTTAAGGCTTCTCTTTCAAACTCATCAGTACCAGGATGCTGTATTCTTGGGGGTTTTGCTGGCTTTATTTTTGGCGGGTTTTTTACTTTTTTTTTTTTTTAAGCTATAACACATTGATGCTTCACCATTTTGCACACATGACTGCCTCTGTGAATAAAAATAGCTTCCCTGTTTTAAGATCTGTATTAAGTGCATACACCTGTATGTGAGAACTGGAGTGGGAATTGATGATTCCAGTACTGACCGACAGATTTTAAAACGGTGTTATGAACTTTCCAGTTTAAAACATTATTTATGTACTGAATATAAACGACGACAAATAATTTAACAGCCCTTTCCCATGTGTATAGGTTTGCACAAAAATTTCTTAACTTGTTTTTGACTTTGCTATGTGGGAGGAAGTAATTTTTGTCTTCCTACAGTGAGGGGAATATTGTGTTTTCTGTTTCCCAGATATTTTAACCCATCCTTGTCTCTCTCAGCTGAACACCGTGGATTGCCTTGCTGACACGGAGCGTACAGCCTACACACAGGGCACATCTCCGAGGATGCTCATGCCGCTGCCCGGCGCATCCTCATGGAGACGCCAGGCCGCTGGGTGCCCCCTTCCGCGGGGAAGCTCCGGGCAGGCCCGCGGCTCCCTCCGGCGCTGCCCGGCGCCGGGGCTGGTGCCCCCGCGGAGCCGCCCTGACCCGCTGCCCCCCGCCCCGGCGCCGCGCTCCCTCTGGCGGGGAGAGCGGCCGCGCCGCCGCCGCTCCCCGAGCCCCGAGGGTAACCCAGCCGCACCGTGCTGCGTTTCCAGCCGAGGGGGAGCCCCCGCCCCGGCGGGAGAGCGCTCCGTCTGCGGGACCGGGGGTCGAACAGGGTGGAGAGGGAACGGATGATCGGGCTGCAGCAGTTCTGTACAGGCTAGGGAGCGATGGAGCTTGAAAGGAAAAAAGCGAGCCCCGTTTAATTCCGTCTGACCTTACTGTCACCCAAGTATGGAAAATAGTTTGCAGGTTCGGAATATTACTGTGGAAGAACGGATACTTGAGCATAAAACCACGAAAACTCGAAGGCCGTCCATGTGAGACACAACCCTCCTTTTTTACACGTTTTCGTGGGGAATGTCCACCCCCTCCACAGAGCGGTGACCAGCAGGTGTAGGAGAGGAAGTGCCTGCAAAATCGCCTCGAGTAGTAGAGGGGCTTGCACCGAGGGCTATCCAGCGATTACTGCCTCACACCCGGTGTGTATTTTAAGCAGTGCCACATGTGACACGGGAACATTCGTGCTCGGCGCGTGCCTGCCTGGGGACAGGGGTGCGCGCACAGTTACGTGCCGGCGCAAGATGCCCGCGTCCAGCCAGCCACAGTGGCCCCGTCAGTGCTTCCAGCTCGTACCAAAGGGACCGAGCTGTGGTCGTGTCAGGAAACGCCCAGAAGACAAATAGTCACGTTCGCGAGCTACTCGCAGACCGCGTCCTCTGCACGAATGGCAACTGACTAAAATAAAGCGAGGGGTGGGGGGGGCGGGGTGGGATTTACAAAAACTCCACGCATCCAGCCCCCCTTCCCCCCCGCACAGGCGAGGGGACCCCGCTGGTGCCAGGGACGCGGCGCACCCCGCGGGCAGGCGCCCGAGCGCGGGGACGGCCGCCCGCTCCTCCCCGCTCCGCGCCCCGCGGGCCCCGCTCCGCGCTCCCGCCCGGGCACGGGGGCGCCCTCCGCGCCGCCTAATCGCATTAATCCGCGGGACAATGCCCCAAGTAATCACCCTTCCTGCTCCCTGCGCGGCCGGCGACCGGCGGCTGGAAAGGGCGAAGCGGGGGAGGGGAGGGGCAGAAAGTGTAAACTTTTATTCCACTCGGTTAAGGAAAACGGGTGGGAAGCAACGGGGAGCACTTGGATACAGGTCTCCCGAACGCCCGCGGCGGCGGGGAGAGCGCGCTTTCCTCCCCGCGAGAAGCGAGTTCCCCTCGGTTTCCCTGCAAACCTATCGCCGCCTGCCTCTGAGTAAATACACGAGCACAAAAGCAAGCCCGAGCGGCGTGAGACCGCGCACGGAGCAGCCTCCCGTGAGCACAGGCTGCGGCGAGGCCCCAGGAGCGCGGCTGCAGCTCGCCCCGCGCAGCGCGGGGAGCGCCGCGGATGGGCCGGGGCCGGGGCCGGGGCCGGGGCCGGGGCCGGGGCCGGGGCCGGGGCCGGGGCCGGGGCCGGGGCCGGGGCCGGGGCAGGGGCAGCAGGGCTGGCTCGGCGGCGGCAGCGCTGCCCTTTTGAATGCCTCCCGCAGCTCTGAGTGCTGGCAGGGCGCTGGGAGCGCCAGTGAATGTAGCCCCGCAGAGCCAATGAGCTGGGACCGGATGCGATATATCCTCTGGGACAACAACTGCTCTGTTCCTCCTCAGATCCACATGACGCCATTTACTGCTGCTTTTGCAGAGAGATCACCCTACCTCCTCCGGAAAGAAAAAGAGAGAGAGGGAGAGAGCGAGCGAGCAGAAAAACGTCGAGTCCCTACAGCTCAGATCTCAAATCTTCCTCCTCCTCCTCCTCCACCTCCTCCAAACACACAACAACAACCACCACCACAAATCCGCTGCGCTCCCAAAACACCCCCCCCGATTGCAAACCACAGAACTGCCTGCAACACACACGCTCGCAGAGGGAGCGAGAAAGCTAAGAGGGAGAGAGGGGAGAGGAGCCTGCAGCAAGCAGCTTCTCAGGAGAACGGCTACATTGCACAAGCTACTTTTTTGGAGGAGCTCAGTGGAAGAAAGCTCTGGGATTTTATTTTAGATCCACTTTGTTTTGTTTTCTTTGGCTTTTCCCTTTCCTCTTGAATTTGCAACAGCAACAAAAAAACAGTGACTTGGTATTGGCGATTCGGCCTCCTGTTCATTGAGGAAAAGAAAGGAAAGTGTGGGTGTGTGAGACTGAGTGATTTTTAGGAGCAAAGAAAATCCACCCCGATCCGGAGAGGTGTGTTGATTATTATTATAGTATATACACGCACACACGTATTTATAATCGATCTGGGGAAAAGCACCTAACTTTGATCTGGACTTTTTTTTTTTTTTAACATGGTGATCATTCTTACTCTAATTTGCAAGTTGGACTAAAGCAGAGTTTGGAAAAGAATTTTTTTTTGCTTTAGGGCTGGATTTATTTGCAAACCGCAGGAAGAAGAAAATACAAGAGAGAGGGGTTTGGTGCAGCGCCGCGATCACGGTGAGAGCCTTTTCCTTCTTTGCAAAACAAGCTTTTCAGTAACCTCCTTCTCTCCCCCCCCCCCCCCCCCCCCCCCCGCTTTGGTTGCTCCAAGAAAACTCGTGGAAATGTTTGAGGCCGATCCCTTTTCCATTCGTACAGGTTCTCCCTCTCCCCCCCCTTCCCTTCTCCTTCCTTTCTCAGAGAGGAGCTGGAGGTGGGATTTCGGAGCGGTTTCTCTCCGGGGAGGGGTGGGGGGAGCTCCGTGGGGTTTGCGGACTGCGCCGCGTTCGTGCCCCGCCGGGGTGCCCCGGGGGTGCGGAAGGCTGCGCAGGGGGCGGAGGGCTGCGCGGGCGCCCCGGAATGCCTGCGGGGCTGCGAGTGGGGCGGGGGGTGCGCTGCAAGGAACCACAGCTCCGGCGTGTTCTGGCTGCTGCGGGGGGCCGGGCACGGGAGGTCCTGCGCGCTCCTGCTTCGCTGGGCACGCGTGGGTTTCCGACAAGCCCCGGGGGAGGTGAAGGGAGGGCGCAGCGGGGCTGGCGAGCGTCGGGGCTGTTTGTCCCCTGGTTTTGGGGAGAAGGAGCAAACCGCCTTTCAGTGCGTGATTTACGCCTGTCTGTAGTGGCGTCAGGAGATCCGTGCGATTCGGAAGTGAGTGCACGTCTGGTACAAATATATACGTGTGTGTATGTGCGTGTGTGTAAGTTTAGATATTTCTCCTGTGATGAAATTAATTCGATCTGTAAGACAAGGAAAGTCCTTCTCTGGGTTCTTCTATGCAGAGGGCGTGTGTGGACGGGAAGGAAAAGCCATAATTTTTGCTGCTTTTTTTTTTTTTTTTTTTTTTTTTTTTTTGTGGACTTACTTCGTGACAGCCCCCTTCCCCCATTAAAAAAAAAAAAAAAAGAAAAAAGAAAGAAAAAAAAGAAAAAAAAAGCTGCTGGTGTTTTCAGCAAGCTGTTTGTGTGTCACTTTGCCCCACCCCGATGGTAAAGTCCCTTTTGCCCTAATCCATAGTCTGATCACACACTCGGCCCTTAATGGGGGTTTCAAAGCACTTTGAAAGAAGAGGAGGTGGTTGGTGTGTGTGCGGTGGGAATGGGGGTGGGGGTGTCTTGCACAGGCTCCGGCCACAAAACAGAAATTCACGGGCAGAGGACTTCTCTCCCTTAGGCTTCGCCCTTCCCCGGCCAGCGGTACACGGGATTTTTCCACAGCACGCAAGAAGCCCCTCGAGTTTTAAACCTCCCCAAATGTGCCGAACGCGAAACTCGTCTCCCTCGCTCACCCTTTTGCCAAGCCCAGTTTGAAAGAAAAGAAAAGTTAGCAATCCTGGCACTTGAGTTCGGTGAGAGTGGACTTTGGCTTCTTAGAAGTGGGGAATCGTGTTATCACGCACATGCACACACAAAAAGGCAAATCTGCTTCTCTTGCTCTTGGCGGATGCAAAGGGGAGAAGTACTAGGTCAGAGGAGGGAGAGGTGTGCCCTCCTGTCAGGATTTTCAAGCAAATGTAGGTGAAAGAGAGATTTTTGAGGTTTGCAAATAAATGTGCTGGTTCTTTGCGTCCTGTCCTGTTAGCGGATCTGTGGCGGGGATAAAAAAGGGGGAGCACCCTGCTCGGTCTGATGCCCCCACTGGAAATGCCTCCTGGGTCCCTCCGGGCTGGGGCGGAGCGGGGCGGGCTGAAGGTCAGGCAATTTGCAGAATATGCGTAAAATAAGAGGAGCTTTTCCAGCGGCTGGCTTTGTGAAGTTGAATGGGTGTTTAGCGCAAGGCGAGAGGGGGTAATCTGCCTTTTGCCCAGCTGTCCCGGAGGTGTTGTCTGAACCGTCTGCAGGGCGCCTGGCACTTCCCGGGAGGGGAAGCTCCTTTAGCATCTCCTGGGGGAGGGCAGGGGGGAAGAGTTTAAAGGAAACATGGGTTTGACTTTCTGATAAGGCGACTGAAGCAGCCCCCTCCCACCTCCCAGCCCAGAGGATGTCTCCTGGTTATCTCCAGGTTGTCTGCACTCTCCGGCGGGCGAGGGGCTGTCGCCTCCCACCTGCTGCGCGCCCCCCGCCCGAGACGGAGCTGGAGGCGGGGAGGGAAGTGGAGAGCGGAGGCTGCTTTTCCAGCTCCCACCTTGGCGTCTGAGGGGGGCTCCGCCACCGATCCCGGGGTCGTCTGAAGCGCCTTCAGGTCAGGGTCAACTTTGCTTTTGCAGTGGGTTGTCATTTCTGGAGAATCAGCCCGGCGTACCCTCCGGGCTGGCTGGGGCTGGTGGAAACCTGGACGTGGAGGAGAGATAGGGCTGCCAATTCCTCTCAAGAATGGGGAAAGCATTTTATTTTTTATTATTTTTTATCTCCAGATAGTTTCAGAGGAGTTGAACATCTGCTTGGGCTGTTGGTTGAATCTTTTGGTATGGCAGAGGTTTTAATTTGAAAAAAAAAAAAAAAAAAGCATAAGCAGTGCTTCAAGCCAAGTTTGCAAGACTTTTTTACTTTTTTTGTGGGGATGTAGGCAGGGGGTGGGAAATGAGCACTGTAACATACATCCTGTGTCCTAAACCAGGATTTGACAATATTTAAAATAAATGGTTACTCTTAAAAGTTAGAGATTTGTCTATATGTTTTTGTTGGGTTTTTTTTTGTTTGTTTGTTTGTTTTTAAGAAAAAAACACTTGAAGCAGGGGAGCCAGGAGTTAAAAGGTTAAATGTTTTGCATTGATGTTAGAATAAAGACAGTGTCTTGAGATACTCTTTGTTAAACTGTTTGGCTATATTTTACTATACTGCAGTACAGTATTATTGTTGGTAACTGATGTGTACAGAGTAACACTATGGTGCTCTTTCTAGGTATAATTGAAGACATTGTGTGGTCCTTGTAAGAAGTTTGGTTCCTGCTTGGGTTTTAATTGTAGAATATTGTTCTGGATTTTTGTATAGGTAATTGGATTTTGGAGCCACTTTAAGTTATGATAAAGGCAAAACAAATATTAACTAATTTAGAAGGCAGTACTTGAAACTTGAGCATATTTGAGTGTGGAAGCTATTTATGAGTTCTCATCTTCTTTGTCTTTTACTGACTTTTCATTTAAATTCTAAAGTCTGCATTTTTACTTTGTAGTTAAAGATCATTTCAAGTAATATTCATAATCAAGTAGACTTCTTGGATGCTGACATTATTTGATTATGTTATGCATGCCTCTATCCCACAATCCACTCTTGATAATATTTACAATTTGAAATGTAGTCTATAGAATTTTTTACACATTAAAAAAAAAAAAAGCAAACAACTGTGGTAACATTGCTTTTGTAGTTTTGAGCCTTAAAATAACAATCACAGTGGTGTGCAACAGTATGACACACACTAAAATACTGGAGAGAGATATTTTTACTTGTGCTGTTGAAGTTTTTGGTAGCACTAACTCATTTAATGTCTAACCTCAAACATTTTATTGCTATTTAGTGTTTTTCTTGGGACCATTGGTATTAAACTAAAATTTCCTATTTACATCATGTAAAGTTTAATGTGTAAAGAGACTAGCCTAACAAAATATTATCCAGTTTTAAACAAAATTGGAGAATTATATGTCTGTCATCAGCAGGTCACATTACACTTGCTAAATACTTGCAGGATAGTTTGTTGGTTTTTTTTTTAGTATAAGGTTTTCAGTAGCCTGATGTGAAAAGAAGTGTCACTTCAAGTGGTGGAAATGTAATCACTTTAAAGGCCATGGTCTAACCAGAAGATGACCTGAGAAGCCTCAGTTAGCAGGACTAATACCTAGACTTTCCAGAGCCACAAGTTAAGTTGCATGGTCCTAGGAAAGAATCCTAGGGATTCTTAAAAGTCCTTAAGCTCTCCACAGCAGTAGGCAGAACAGGCCAAGGGAATTTGGTCACTCAGCTGTCTGGTGCCAGTGCTTGTTCCAGACGTGACTCCTTTTTTTAATGGCTGATGCATTATTTGATTGTCTGCGGTGCTGTGGGGTCCTCCAGGCTTGAAAAGTTGCTGGAGAGAGCGTGAGACATGTTGCAATAGTGAATCCTCTCTTTTTTGCTCCAGGATTTCAGATGTGTTCTAAGCCTGGTGGGGTGAGCAAGCTTCTGGGCACTGATGGAGACTCAGCACGGCAGTGGGTCACAGCCCTTACTACAGGCTCGGCGTGACAGTGGGAGACCGCATGGGGAGCCCGACCTGCGGGATGTCCTGATGCAGCAGGTTCACGTCTTGTCGTTGGACCAGATCAGAGCCATCCGAAACACAAATGAATACACAGAGGGACCTACGGTGGCTCCACGGCCGGGGGTCAAATCTTCTCCTCGGGTAACAACCCAACCCAAAAGTGAAAGGCCTCATGGGTTGCCTGAGCATCGTCATTTCAGCCGGATCCAGCACACGCAAACGCACTCATCTCCTCGAGTGCCTCTCTCCCGGTCCATCAGCACAGTCAGCACGGGCTCACGGAGCAGTACGAGGACGAGTACAAGCAGTAATTCGTCAGAACAAAGACTTCTGGGGTCGTCTTCGGGGCCAGTTGCTGATGGGATAGTCCGAATGCAGCCCAAGTCTGAGCTCAAGTCGAGTGAGCTGAAGCCACTGAGCAAAGAAGATTTGGGAGCACACAGCTACAGGTGTGAGGACTGTGGAAAGTGTAAGTGTAAGGAGTGCACTTATCCAAGGACCCTCCCCTCATGTTGGATCTGTGACAAACAGTGCCTTTGCTCAGCCCAGAACGTGGTTGATTATGGGACTTGTGTTTGCTGTGTGAAGGGCCTCTTCTATCACTGCTCTAATGATGACGAGGACAACTGTGCTGACAACCCCTGCTCCTGCAGTCAGTCACATTGCTGCACTAGGTGGTCCGCCATGGGTGTAGTGTCCATCTTTCTGCCTTGCTTGTGGTGTTACCTACCAGCCAAGGGTTGCCTTAAGTTGTGCCAGGGCTGTTACGACCGGGTAAATCGGCCTGGGTGCCGCTGCAAACACTCCAACACCGTTTGCTGCAAAGTTCCCAGCGTACCCCCCAGGAACTTTGAAAAGCCAACATAGCATCACTAGCCAGAAATACTAAAGTAACAAGGATTATTATTTTAACGTACATATGCAACCAACTAAGCAGCTATGGTCTTGGCACTGTAGTGGAAGGGTTGGGGATGTACTTTGCTGTTTGCAGTGAAATGCTTTTCTGTGTGTGTGCCATCTTAACTGATACGCTTGTTAGAATCCAGCTAATGGCATACAGGGGAAAAAAAAGGGATGCAGTACATTCTGACCCACATATTGCATAAGCTAAAGCAACACAGACACTCCTAGGCAACTCTATTGTTTGTGAATAGTACTTGCAAAATTTGTAAATTAGCAAATGACTCCTTTTTTTCATTGTTTTCTGCCAGAGATAATGTGCTATATTTTTGTATATACAATAATATTTTCAACTGTGAAAAGTAAGTGCTGTCATAAGACATGGCACAGTCACAAAATATTATACTAATATGTTGTACATTCGGAAGAATGTGAATCAATCAGTATGTTTTTAGATTGTATTTTGTCTTACGGAAACCTTCTATTACAAGACTTTGATTTCCCTTTGGACTTCATGTATATTGTACAGTTACAGTAAAATTCAGCCTTTATTTTCTAATTTTTCAACATATTGTTTAGTGTAAAGAATATTTATTTGAAGTTTTATTATTTTATAAAAAGAAATATTTATTTTAAGAGGCATCTTACAAATGTCGCCCCTTTTTATGAGGACGTCATAGTTGCTGCAGATAAGGGGTGTATGATGCATATGTTCACTATAAAATAGAAAATATATTAACGTTTGAAATTAAACTGGGCTACTTGTCATTTTTTTCCCATTTACTGTTCTGAGTTGGGAGAATCGATACTTCTAATTGCAAACTTGACAGTGCTATAGTCACAGTGAGCCTAATGTGAAACTGAAAAGAGATTTTTAAGTGTATTCTTTTGTTCATGTTTACTTCTTCACCTGAAAACGGTGCAGGATTTTTGCTCCCTTTCTTTGCACAAATGTCCCATATACTGTTCCTGCAAGAGAAAAGGAAAATGAACATAGGAAAATGCATTAATTCATTCCAGACTAGGACTAATAAGCACTGAAAGCTTGACCTATTCTATAAGTGATGAGCTTTTGTGATTCAAATAGGAAATAAGTAATCATTCACAAAAAATGTTAGGCTTGCATAGCTTTACTCAGTGAGAGAGAGGAGGAAAAACACGTAATTAATACTGTCAGTGCAAAAAGTTTGCAGGATTATTTGCTAAAGTTAGAAGAATATGCCACAGGGAATCATAGATCTGAATGCAGTCCAGCCTTATGTCAAACATTTGCCTCACTTGTAAGAAGAAAGTTGCTTGATTTGTCATTTGTGGCAGTTACCTTCTACTGAGGTCAAAATCCTTTCCCTGCCAAGTTTCCCACCGGAAGCCTAGAGAATGATTTACCTTTCTTTATTAACAAACTATCATTTCCTGTTCTGAGCATGTCAGTCCAAGTTTAGAGGTCTTAATGTTCAATTTTATTTATACATTTCTTAAGCTGGCATTTAAGAATAGTTGTAAGTATTTTTAAGCTGATGCTTAAAAAAGTCTCCCAGACTTTTCTGAAGCCCCTCCAAGATAAACAAGTTATTATTAATAAATTAAGAACTCACTAAAAGTTGAAAACCAGAGCATTGAGTAAATGTTCTGTCTTTTTGCCCCTTAATTTTCATCTCAGATCTGGTATTTGGATGATTTTACATAGGTCTGTAGTACTCAGAAATCTTACACTGTGTGTTTGTGCATATTGGTTATCAATCATCAAGTGAAATTAAAAAGTTCTTGTTCTTTTTCTCTTTTTTTTTTTTTCTTACCTCTCTGGTGAAAAATGTCAGCTGGTTTACTTTCTGCACCAGCTGGCTGGATACTTTGGTATACAAAGACGAACACTATATATTTAGCTTTCAGAGTGGAATTTGCCAGAAAGAAGGTAGCTTATGTTACATGAGTAATTTGTCCATATTTAAAGGGCATCAGTGTACTATAACTGAGTAGTGGAGTGTATATGTGAGATTGTTCTTGGCTGCTGATAAACAAAGATTTTTATTATTTAATTATGTTTTTTTTTAGCGATTTTGTTCTTGAAGGGGTTAATAACCATTATGTGTTTCCAATCACAGAATGTAGTTTTTGGACTACATTAAGTGCTTATGCTTAACCTGTCCTGGGCTAGTCTTGCTGATGAAAACAAACATCAGAGGAATCTTTGACCTTTAGGCTTTAGCTTGGAAACACCAAGTCCCACTGATTTCAGTAGACAGTAAATCCAGCATTTTCACTGGATTGATGAACTTGACAAAACTGAAGGCAAGCTCTGTCTTTTTAGTGATGTATGTTTCAGTTGACGATAACTACAGAAAGCTGAAGGTGAAACTGGAAAACTGGGATGGCTGAGCAGCACAGCAGTCAAAGTGGGTGCAACTCAAAAGTCCTACTAGCTTAAGTCCAACACTAAAATTATGGATATGTTTTCTTTTTTCAGTATAGTAAGTTCTCTGTCTGCCTAGTTAGGTTCTAAGGGAAAAGGAAAACCATCTTCTTCTTGGCAGTGAAATTTGAAGCTAGTTTAAACACTGAAAGATGGTTGTGACCTTCCACTTGGTTCTTAATAAAGGATAAAATAGTGGGTCCACCCCACCCCAGGTAAGCCCATTACCAGAAACTGGGTAGGATGCATGACTCTTGGGAACAGGGATGTAGGGAAGTGTGTCCTGTTGGGCTAACTATAGCACTGGGGTCTAGGCTTCAGCTAGTATGGATTGATATTTGTGCCCACTGGACTCTTAAAAGCTGGCTTGTGTATATTAGTTAACATCCTAATATTGCACTTAATTAGATAAGGTTTAGTATTCTAAATAAAACCAAAATCTTGCCTCAGGCAGATTAGATTGTTTTAATAAGAATTAAGAGGGCTTTTCAAGTGGATTGAGATAATGTTATTAAAGCATGCCTACTTTATCCTTTGAGAAAGGAAAGTGGAGGTCCAAGTAAGGAAAATTTTCCATACACGGGTTTTGAGGATAACCATGAAAGTTATGCTTGATATACATAATATAGGACTTTAATTTTAGACTGCTATGAAGTCATGAGAGAGAGTAAAACCCTTATAATTGCTCCATTTGTTATGTTGTTGCTTCAGAGTTTTGATCTGTTAACTTACAGATTCTGTAAGGTTTGTTTAAGGTATAGAGACTTGCAGGATTGCACTGACAGTTAATCCTAGTAACAGTGGAAACAAATATTCCAAACTGTTTTTCTTTATGATGTAAGCTACAAATAAATACATAGAATTTAAAGAAATTTAGAAATTCCTCTATTCATAACATCAGGATTTTTTTTTTCTTACTTTGCTCTTTAATGGTTTGAAACTTGACTAAAATTTCTTTTTTGAGATCGGGATCATAGCAGTAAAAAAAAAGGAAAAAAAGGAAAAGAGACTTGGATTCAAGTAGCGAATAAATAAAAATAATACTTTTACTGGATAAAAGTAAAATGTGTTCCTGAAGGATTTGAGATCATGTTCAGGTAAGTATTTGCATTCAACAGATTTACCAAATTAGTCTTCAAAAGCCAAAAATTCTCCAAGTGCAGAAGTGCAGTAAATTGTGATGATTAACACAATAGATTTTTTACACTTCCTTACTAAACTCCCATCATTTAAATATACAGTATTACCTGTATTGCCCTTTTCACTTTTGGTAAAACACAAAATAATTAATTTTTGTAGTGAGTGAAATCTTAGGTCTTTTTCTCAGGTGGCAGGAAGACAGCAGAATGCATTTCTGTTCTACAGTGGAACATTTAGGAATTAATGGTTGGGAAAGATGGATTTGAACAGTCTGTCTTGTCTCAGATGTTCCTAGATGGATGCAGGTACAGCAAGTAATAATGATTTCATCTGCTGAGACTAATTTCTCAATCAGTCACTGGAGCAGAGTGCCAGAAAGAAATTGGCTGAATGCGAGAGCACGCTCGATTGAGTAGTGTCTGTAACAATAGTATTGAATAGATGTCTTGCTGAAAATGTCAGCATTTGTCTTATTGGGTCATCTTAAATAAATCAGTTACAGATTGGAATTGCAGGTAGACAGCACACCAGACGTGGGATTGTAGGTGACAAAGCACACCAAATCCTTACCAATGAAAATACTTGGATGTTTTCCTCTTTATGAATCTGATTTTAAACTGGAATCTTAGAAATAAAAAATAATGTCTTGTTAAAGTCAGGACAGTTGGACTCAAAAAAACGTGCATATAAAGTGCAGATATGTATAGTACTTTTGATTTCAAAAAGATTTCACTTTTCAATCTGCGGAGACTACTATGTGTTATTTCTCTTTGTATTTATTCTTTCTGGTCCTTATCCCTTTCCTTGACCTTTCCTTGCCATAATATGTAATACATTATTTCCACTTATAGGACGAAAGGGGAAAAAGGAGGATGAAACATGCTTTTTTCATTAGTATTCTGGGCCTGAAAGTTTAGGACAAGGTCAAAAAATTGATTACCTTTCTGCATGTAATTTTTCCTGCATTTTCAGAAATATAAAAGGTTTTTTATATTCATGTCACATTGAATCCACTATTTCAGAAAGATCTTATTTTCATTGTTTTGATTTAATTGTATTACTCAAGAAGGTTTTATGTGTTTTTGTTTTAACCCATTGGCACTGTGTTTCAGATTAAAGAGGTAGAGGCTTTACTACCATAAAAGCATGAACTACTGCTGTTCTGCCACTGGGATTGTTTAGTACAGAGACAATGTAGTTGCTTTTGGACATGAGTAGCAATGATTTTGTTTGAAACAGAGTAGGAGTTCAGTGTTTTCAGCCCTGGGAGAAGGCAAAAGCGGCTGTGCTAGATATCTTTACATGTGGTGTAAGAAACGTTTTTTTTCTCTGACTTAACTGTGCATGCTGATTACAGAAGCTTAGGGCTAAAATGTTCAAACTGCTAGACTAAAATGGGTCGGTTCCCATTTCGGTAGAAGTTACCAATAATCAGAAGCTTTGACAATGTAGTCTGCTATTATGTAGGATTATTTATGGATATTGTAATACTTGGGGGTTTAAGTTACATTTTAAAATGATCTTGCCAAGGGAGATAATCTGTTTCTAAAAGGTAAAGAACTGTATAATCAGAGGAGCTCTGCTTTCCTGAAAGACTGCTGTATAATTACCAAACCACTTAGTGCACCTGAGATATGCTACAAGAGATAGCACTTGGTGCCATTTAGGAGTTGCAGGCACAAGTTTCATTTGGAGAGTCTGAGCCAGTACACAAGGGTGTATGAGGAAGAATCACCAACTTACAGACACAGAGACCCCCTTGAACAAAGGGATTTTTTACTTTTTCTTTTTTGCCGTCACTTTATTTTGATCTAGAAGCAGTGTATATGAATGAGTCATAAATAGTGTTGTTGTTCCTCTGGTTACTGATGAAAGAATGTATTGATGCTCTCATAGTGTGCCTCAAAAAACCACACCAGGATGGAAAATCTTTAAATTACCAATTTTACCACTGTCGTCTTCAGAAATGAATACAAACATCAGGGCTATAGCAAGCTGTGTTTCAAAATTAGTTCCACTGTAAGTAAATTGCACTAATTGGTTATGCTAAAACTGTTGCTATAATTAGACATTGTTCCGCTTTAGGTCTCAAAATCTGCTCAGACTTTTGCCAGCTTCCTTTGTAATGCAGTTTTACTTAAGGTGTTGTTGTTTCTTGTAAGACAACATATAAAAGTTGGTGTATCTGTCAAATGCATGAAAA